GACAAGCCCAGGATGAGGCCCCTATCCACGAGGTGGATACCATATTTAGAGGCCCATATGTTGGCGATGAGGCACGAAACACCAAGTTTCACCCATTGTCTTCACCCAGGAGGATGCCGAAAGAGTTCACTACCCCCCACTGTGATGCACTTGTTGTGAGAGCTGTTATAGCCTGAAATTAGCTCATGCGAATGTTAGTTGACAATGGTAGCTCTGTCAACATTCTATTCGGATCCACTTTTGATAAGATGATATTGGATCATCAGTTGACACCCACCACAACTCCTTTATGCGGATTCACTGGAGATAACATCACTCCAAGGGAAAAGATAACACTTGCAGTGGAGATGGGAGAGTCTACATAAACTATGATGAACTTCATGGAGTTCCTCATTGTAGACAGTAGATCGGCCTGCCAAGGAGTATTAGATAGGCCAGCCCTAAAGGAATTGGGAGCAGTCACTTCCATCCACCACTTATGCATGAAATTCCCGATGAAAAATGGGGTGGCAACGGTGAGAGGCGACCAAAGATGATCGAGAAAGTATTATCTAAGCTCCATCAAAAGGTAGAGCCCAGGACGTCCATGTAATCATAGCCGATATAGTCATGGCTGATGTCCCAGGCGATGCTCCCACTGAACTAGAAGATATTGATATGATTGATGCACCACCCAATCCAAAGGTATCAATCATTGATGAGATCGATCCCCGCATAATTGAACACGAACCCCAAGCATCCCTAGTTAAGGAACTTGAGAGCTTCTCAGTAGACTCCCAAGACCCATCCAAGGTGCTGAAAGTAGGCAAGGGCTTATCCAACATTTTGAAGGAAAAGATTAAGGATTTCCTAAGTAGGAACCTTGATATCTTTGCTTGGAGGCATGAGGACATGGTAGGCATAGACCCCAAGGTCAGTTGCCACCACCTGAAAGTCAATCCTAAGTTTGTCTCGCACAGACAAAAAAGGAGAGCCCTCAATCCTGAGAGGTACGAGGCTCTGAGGGAAGAGATTTAGAAGCTCATCCAAAACAACTTTATTAGGGAGGCTACCTATCCAAGGTGGGTCTCCAACCCGATTTTAGTGAAGAAACACAATGGCAAGTGGAGGGTGTGCATCGATTTCACCAACCTCAACAGAGCTTGCCCGAAAGACCACTTTCCACTCCCAAGGATTGACCAACTAGTAGACTCCACAGCTGGACACGAGTTGTTGAGCTTTATGGACCCATACTCATGCTACAACCAAATACCCATGCACCCGACCGATGAGGAGCACACCTTTTTCATCAAAGACCGAGGCCTTTATTGTTATAGGATGATGCCTTTCGGATTGAAAAACGCCGGAGCAACTTACCAAAGGCTCGTCAACAAAATGTTTATGGACCTCATCGGCAAAATAATGGAGATATACATGGATGACATGTTGGTAAAGAGTTTGGAGGCTAAGGACCACATAACGCAACTTAACAGCACCTTTCAAATCTTGAGAAGATATAGGATGAGGCTCAACCCCCTCAAGTGCGCCTTTGGAGTGGCCTTCGGCAAACTCTTAGGATACATGGTCAATCAACGTGGAATTGAAGCCAACCCTGAGAAGATTGAGGCCCTACACAAGATGAGGTCTTCCTAAAAGCAAAGGAGGAGGTGCAAAGTTTGACTGGGTGAGTGGCCGCACTTAGCCGCTTCGTCTTCAAAGCTACAGACAAATGCCTCCCATTTTTTAAAGTGCTGAAAGTTGGGAAGATATTCCAATGGAACGAGGAATGTGAAGAGGCCTTCCAAGGCCTGAAAAGGCACCTGGGGCAAGCCCCCCTCCTCTCCAAATCGAAGCCCGGTGAGATCCTACAGCTATATCTGACCGTCTCCAATGAGGCCATCAGTTCGGTTCTAACTTGAGAAGAGGGGACCACCCAACTCCCCGTTTACTATACAAGTAAAGCACTCCTATCGTCGAAAACCCGTTACCCCTATATGGAGAAGCTCGTTTTGGCCTTGATCACGACCTCTAGAAAATTGAGACCCTACTTCCAAGCTCACACCATCCATATGCTGACAAACTTTTCCCTAAGGCAGGTACTCCAAAAGCCCAACGCCTCAGGAAGATTATTGAAGTGGGCAGTGGAGCTAAGTGAATTTGACCTCATGTTCAAGGCTAGAGCAGCCATCAAGGGTCAAGCCTTGGCTGACTTTGTGGCAGAATTCGCCAATTTACCCTAGGTAGATAAAATCATGGAACCCGTCGAACCCCCTACGTGGAACTTATTCGTCGATGGGTCGGCTCGGGACATCGACTCAGGTGCTGGAGTTGTCCTCATCAGCCCTGAAGGTCACAAGCTAAACTCAGCGGTGAGGTTTCGGGTTCAAAGCCACCAACAATATAGCAGAATATGAGGCACTTCTCACAGGCCTCAAGCTGGCCAAGGAAATGTAAGTAAGGAGGCTACTCATCAGCAGTAACTCATAGCTGGTTGTTAGCTAAGTAAATGGTAACTTCTCAGCCAAGGACAAAACGATGGCCTCCTACTTGAAAATGGAGATGAACCTCATCCCATCCTTTGAAAAGTTTGAACTAAAAATTCTCATGCGGATGCACTCTCCAAGCTCGCTAGTAGCAAGGATTCAGAACTACTCACAGTAGTACCTATAGAGCACCTCCTCCTGTCATTAACCGAGGTCCCCAATGTAATGTGGGTCGCTGGGACTCCTACCTGGATGTAGCCAATCGTAGCATACCTCAAAGACCAGGTACTTCCCACTAAAAAGCTTGAGGCCTACAAGCTAAGGAGGAGGTCAGCCCACTTCCTCTTCGTTGATGATGTTCTCTATAAGAGGAGCTTCTCCTCCCCACTCTCACGATGCGTTGGAGGAGAAGAGGCAACTTACATATTAAGAAAAGTCCATGAAGGCATGTGCGGCTATCACTCCGGAGGTCTATCTTTGGCATAAAAGATATTGAGGCAAGGGTACTACTGGCCTACCCTGAAAAAGGACGCCCTCAAGTTTGTACGAAAGTGTGACAAATGCCAACGATTCTCTTCGGTACAAAGACAACCGTCGCAGGATTTAACCGCGATCTCCAGCCCTTGGCCTTTCTCAAAATGGGGTGTGGACTTCATAGGTCCCCTACCTAAAGGTAGAAGATGTGCAAGCTTTGCAATTGTGGCCATTGATTACTTTACAAAATGGGTTGAGGCTGAACCACTGGCAAAAATCACAGAAGCCAACACTTCCAAGTTCTTGTGAAAGAATATTATATGCCAGTTCGGGATTCCCTACTCAATCGTCTCAGACAATGGTAGACAATTCGACAATAAGAAGGTCAGAGCACTATGCGAAGAACTTGGCATTAAGAAGCATTTCTCCACACCTCACCACCCACAAGCAAATGGTGAAGTTGAGGCTGTCAACAAAATAATTAAACACGTCTTGAAAAGAAAGCTTGATGTGTCAAAAGGGGCCTGGGTGGATGAGCTACCACAAGTACTTTGGGCAATCCGAACCACCATGAGGACCCCAACCGTGGAAACACCTTTCCTCATGGCATATGGTACTGAGGCGATGAGCCTCGTTGAGGTCGAACTCCCGTCTCCAAGACACCTGCATTTTAGTGAGATGACAAACGATAAGCTTCGAAGGTACGACCTCGACTTCATTGAAGAAAGAAGAGATGACTCCCAGTTGAAGTTCGACACATATCAAAGGAAGATGGCGAAGTACTTTGACTCAAAGGTAAAGAAGAGATCATTCCGAATCAACGACTTGGTCCTAAGGAGAGTCTTCCTCTCCTCAAAGGAACCTGGTTTCGGTTCCTTGGGTTCGAATTGGGAAGGCCTATATAAAATCAGAGAAAAGATCCGGCCTGGGACTTACTGGATTGAAGACATGAACGGCAAGGCACAACCCCATCCATGAAACATCGAGCACCTCAGAATCTAGTACCAATGAATGTACCACCTCGCTGGACGATCTTTCCAAGCTCATGTAACATTTCTATGGTTCAATAAAATTCTATGATTAAATTAATGTGTTGCATTACTTTCTTACCTTGGAGGAGAGGCCAAGGTCCGAACTCTGGGCCACCTCACTTGAACTCCGAGATGCATGCACATGCCTCCCTTTGGTGAGGCTGAACGCCAAAGGGAGAAGCCTCAACATGGTTGCACCATCCACCATGTTGGGAAGCGTCGTCACCTCGGAAGAGAGGCCAGGGTCCCATCCTTGGGCCACCTCATTTGAACTCCGAGGTGAATGCACTTGCCTCCCTTTGGCGAGGCTGAACGCCAATGGGAGAAGGCTCAACATGGCTACATCATTCACCATATTAGGAAGCGTCGTCACCTCGGAGGAGAAGCCAGGGTCCCATCTATGGGCCACCTCGCTTGAACTCTGAGGCGCATGCACATGCCTTCCTTTGGCGAGACTGAACGCCAAGGGGAGAAGCCTCAACATGCCTGCACCATCCACCATGTTGGAAAGCGTTATCACCTCGGAGGAGAGGCTAGGGTCCCATCCCTCGGCCACCTCGCTTGAACTCCAAGGCGCATACACATGCCTCCCTTTGGCGAGGCTGAATGCTAAGGGGAGAAGCCTCAACATGACTACACCATCCACCATGTTGGGAAGCGTCGTCACCTCGGAGGAAAGGCCAGGGTCCCATCTCTGGGCCACCTCGCTTGATCTCCGAGGCTCATACACTTTAGGTTCGGCTGCAACACGGTCCATTCTTAGGATCCCTTCAGGTTACAGTTATTAAGTTTAAGTACAATTCATTTGCTTAAGTCCCATATTGGTCATAATTTATGAGGCTTGCATACAATTTATTTGTTTAAGTGATTGGAGTTAGGATACCCAATTAAAGTTATTTAGTTCTTCAGTCAACATTACGTTCAATTACTTAACGAGGCCAACACACTTGAGAGAAAGAAACAACATTGAATGAAAAAGATATTATATTGATTTTCAATTGAGATTACAAAAGGGGGGCCTCAGGCTAGTACATTATGAATAACTGAAAAGAAAAATATCCTGAGCCTGAGAAGATGATGGATGTGCTTCAGCAGCTGGGACTTCCGTAGCTTGAGCATCAGAGTTTGCTTCTTCTGCCTCTGCTACTTCATCTCCCACCGCTTCATCAGCTGGGGTTTGAGGCTCTTCGTCCACAAACTCCGACCTCAGTTGCGATAGGTCTTGATTGGGATACAACTCCTCAGCTCGCTCCATCACCTCGGCATAAGCAAAGTTCCTCCAGTAAGTACTGAAGCTCTTGTACTCCTCGATGTTATGAAAGTTGGCAATGTAGTCCTTCACCGCCTCTTCCTTTGCCTCTTGGTCCTCCTCCCTTGCCTTGGTGGTATCATCCACATACCATTTAATTTGGCCTTCCAAGAACTGGTACGCCTCTTGGGATGATGCCAATGCCAAGTTTGCCTTCTCCAAGGCTTTGGCGGTCACCTTCTGGTGATCATTGGAAACCTTCACCTTCTTAGTCAAGGAGGCAACCTCACACTGGCACTCATGTACTTCCCTCTTCAATGCCTCTATCTGAGCCAAGGCAGACTCCAACTTGGCCGATTCTTCAAGTTGTCAGGCCCTAGCTACCTTAGCCTTGGCCTTGGCTGCCTTCAACTCCTTTGCAAGGGAGCCTGTTTTCCTCTCTAAGGCAGTGGTCCTCGTCTGAAAGTCAGTGAGGGCCTCCCTGCATTCCAGTACGAGGCCAAAAGTCCAAACACTTTGGCTCACAAGAGCCTTTGTCAAGTCCGTGGCATCACAGGAGGAGGTGTGCAGTTACCACCGATCCGTCCAGAATTTATAAAAACTTTTAGTAGCGCCTCGGATCTCAGGTGGCAGGGCCTCTACCAAAGCTGGGGTGAAAGGCTCCTCCCTTTTGACAAGGAAGCTCGGAGACTTCCCTTGCACTCGAGCAGGCCTTTGTTTGGCAGCCTCTTCCTCGACCACCTCAGCTTGCCTCCTTGCAGCCTCCTCCCTCGCCTCTTCAGCCTCGACGCGCCTAACCATTTCAATCTTAATTGCTTTCGAGGCGGCTTCCAATAGCTTTAGCTGCCCGACTTCTTTGCCTTCATGGGACACAGAAGTCCCAAACTTCCCAGACGAGCTAGAGACGTGCACCAGCTTCCTCTTCTTTGGCTCCTCAGGGACTTTCTCCTTCCCCCGAGGCTCCTTGGACTTTTCTGGCCTCTGGGGCGTCCCCTCTTTGGAAGCCCACGATGTGCTGTCCTTGGAGAGACGTTCAACTCTACCTTGGACCTCCTTGGCGCCACTTGACACTGGCTTCAGAGGCCTCACCTTCACAGTGGAGGTTGCCTTCAGTATGGATGCCATGTCAGAAACTGGGTACTCCTTCCTCTTAAATTTGTCTGCAGAACACAGTGCGTCAGTATCAAAACGAAAACACAAAAATATACAAGTTTGGAAGCTTCGTACCCTTGGAGGGCATCAATTCAAAATCGAGGAAATAGCGACTTCTGTCGATGAGGTGATCGAAGTGGTGAAGTTTCGGAGGTCTCTTGTAAATGTCCTCTATCACTTCAAACTCTTCCCTGCTCAGCTCGAACCTCGTACTGCTATCTGCAAATGAGGCCTCAACAGTTAGAGAAAAAATAAAGTTGAATACGAAATGCAAACTACTTAGGCTGGGAGGCTCACGAGCTTCGTAGTACTGGGTCGGTATTGTGCAAGACAGGGCTTTGTCTCCCTCCACCGCCTGCCACCTGCTGCCCCTTACCCAGAACCACGACTCCTTCCACCCCTTTATGGAAGAAGGCAGCCCCACCATAAAAGGTGCATGGGCCTCCCAGGGAGTCAATAATACTACTCCTTTGACTCCTTACCTATTACCCTAGGCTAGAATAGGGTCATGAAGACATAGAGAGGCATGTCTTCCCCAAGCGACACTTCCTTCCACAGGAAGTACGAGCCGACCAACTGATTCCACCCATTTGATAGAACCTGGGTCGACGATAACATGAAATTCCTCAGCACAGCCCTAAAGAAGGGGTGCAGAGGAAGACATATACCTGCCTTAAACAAATATTTGCTCACCGCCACGCATCCCAGCCTCGGATAACAGGCTCGCTCATGGGCCTCGGGCACTAACATCTCCACATAATGAGGTACACGGGACCTCTCTCTTATCTCCCCCAACCTCTTCGACGTCATATTCGAAGGGACTCTAGACGCCTCTCACTCTACATTGTAGTCTACTTTCTCCTCTGTCATAGCAATCTGCTCCACCTCGGAGTCTCCCCTGTAACTAGACCCCCGACCAAACGACGCGACAGTGACCAACTCCCTACCTGAAGTCGACTCCATCTCAGAAAGCAACTAACAACATAATAAAAGGAGGATTTTCTATGAAAAACACCTACTGAAAAACTACGCGACCAGGAAGTGGCGAAAAAACAGTGAACGGACAGCTTCAACGCTGGAAAGTTTAAGCTCTAATGGAAGAAATCAGATGGCAAGTGCTGAAAAATCCAGAAAAAATGAGTTCTCTCGCCTTTTATAAAGGACCAAGACTACCCCACACCGTCAGATCGAAGCTCATTCAATTTGAACCCTTCATTTTAAATCAAATTCGAAGTGTAGAGTTCAAATGGTTTTTCAAACCTATGCCTCAGATTTAAGCGTGTCCCCCACGCACATCAGCCAACGCGTCTGCTTCTAGAAGCTCTAGCTATTCTAATATTTACGACTTTAATTCGATGGCAGCAGGCGCCTTGGAAGTTGCAACAGTTCAGCCACCTTTTCTCAAAAACATGCGCAAAATATCAAATCATTGGAACAATTGCCAGGAAACAATTATTGTCAATGAACCTCAGCTTCATCTTCAACATTCAGCCATCAAGCCTCGCAGGTTCGATTTTCCAACCACCTCGGCTCCATCTTCAACATTCAACCATCAAGCCTCGTAGGTTCGGTTTCCCAACCACCTCGACTTCATCTTCAACATTCATTCATCAAGCCTCGCAGGTTCGGTTTCCCAACTGCCTCGGCTCCATCTTCAACATTCAGCCATCAAGCCTCACAGGTTCGATTCCCAACCACCTCGGCTCCATCTTCAACATTCAGCCATCAAGCCTCACAGGTTCGATTCCCAACCACCTCGGCTTCATCTTCAACATTCAACTATCAAGCCTCACAGGTTCGATTTTCCAACCACCTCGGCTTCATCTTCAGCACTCAGTTTTCAAGCTTCGCACATTCAGTTCATTCCACCACCTCGGCTTCTTCATCATTCATCCACAACAGCACATTTCTAACTCCAACCATGATATAAATATCTATACTTGGACTTGGGGGACTATTATTTGGGGTTCAAAAATTCTTTCAATTTTTACCCAACCCACTGGCTTTATTTCATTAAAGTTCATGTACTACATAAATGACTATACTTGGACTTGAGGGACTATTGTTATGTGTTGTCATACTTGGCCAACCTAGGTGGGCCTATGGCCCACTCAATCCAAACCACGTGGCACTCTAGCCGAAGTGGGCTATATGGCCAAGGCCCTTTATGCCGAGACCCATATACCGAAGCCTGTGAAAGTAGCCGAACTCCACATGTCGAGGCCCATATACCGAGGCCTATGAAGATAGTCGAAACCCTGAAGCGAAAGTACTACATGAGTGGCAGAAGCCCTGAATCCGAAGCCAAAGTAGAAGCCTCCGAACCATGAAGGAACATCTTCCATGATCACTTCTCCCAAGAAATCTTCTACATAAAGATCTTGTTTGAATGATTGATGGAACGTTTATCATGAGTGCGCATGTTAAGTCTTGTCATTAGCATGGGGGTTCTGCATAAGCAATAAATGCTCAACAAGCTAGCAAGTCAAGGATGATGCCTAGGATAGAATGTTTGGATTAAAGAGATGAGGTCACGTGCTCCCTCATCCAAGGGTTGCCATTTTACATGTACCACTATAAATACTTCCATTGTGTAACATTAAAGGGCTAATGCAAGAATCAATACAAGAAACAAAACTTTACTCTCTCTTTCATATTATCTTACAACACAATATGAGTTCATACATATTTACATGCACGTTTATTAGCACCAATTGGTAATTATTGTACAATCGGATTAAGAACATCTCGTCGGATTTCGAACATTCTCGTCCCGCATCATTGAGCTACTCCCACGCCCCTGATCCGTTCGTCCTTGACCGTCCACGTGTCTTAGCGTGTAGAACCTTCACTCACGTGTGCACGGGTGGGTCCAGTATCTGTTGACAACATTTTTTGGGGTCAAGAATTTCTATACTCATTATAGAATCCTTAGTATTTAGAATATAAATGTTATTTTGTAACTCACCATAACTTTTAAGATCTTAATTAAGATAAGCATGAACAACAATTATCCTTAACATTAAAATAGTTCATGTCTGAACATGAAATTCATTTTAATGTTCCAGCTATGGTGGGTACAAAGCAACATTTCTCCAATTCCATTACTAAGCCAAAAGGCAACGGCAAGAAGTATGCCCCTACAGGCAATGGAGCAACCTTTGCTTATCTTCAACATGTCGGTTAACTTCTCCCTCTTACAGTGGTCTATCTCCATTTAGTTTCTCCATATTTGTATAAATACGAGATCCACATCTGGTATTACCTGAGAAGCTAATGAAATAGACATAAGCTTTGCAATATTTCTTCCAATGACCTTTCATTTATAACAAAACAAGGATCATTAGATTTGGTATTGTCCTTTGCTCAGACCATTTTAACCATATTGAATGCTTTCTCAAAGCCCTTTTAGATTTCCTCTTAACACTCTTAGAGGAATCAACGGTTTGCCCACTACCAACTTTGATAAAAGGCTTAACAATCATAAGCATGTTAAGCAACTTAATGAGTATGTATTCGAGTTTATTCATATCATAATTCATAATTAGTATGGGTAACTCTATGATAGAGATTGTAGAGCTAAGTCAATACTTAGTTCATAGTTAATGATTGAACTCAATTGAGAGACTTCTCTTGTCAATCATCTTCAGTACATGAGGATTGGCTGAAGATTCTTTTGTCACTTTGCATCGGTATAGTTGTTTAGAAGTCTCATATCCTTTCACACATAATTATTATCATACAACTCTTTGTAATGAAGAATTATGTATTAACATCTATACTCTCAAGTTGCTTTTGTAGCTCAGGTGACATAGTTGCAGGTATCACATACGTTGCAATACTATTGTCATCACTGCGTTTATTATAGCAGCCACCTCTTCCTTAATCGAGTCAGCACCAAGTGTCTCTGATAAATGGCTACTTAAGGACAACCAACTTTCGCATGCTTGAAAACAATTCTCAAATTGTAGTGCCAATCGAGAAGATTCAGTTTGGTTGCTGGCATCCAGTAAGTCATTCAAAACATATGGTTACTCAGGATTCAATATAAATGTAAATGACGAAAAGGAAAATAATAATATATAAAATGCATCAATTAATTTAACATGGACTTTTATTAAATTAATTATGCTCCCATTGTTTAGTTAAATTTTGTGACCCTCTTACATAAATTTATGGAGTCCATACTTGACTCTCAGTAGGTTGGGATTCCATCTATTATATTAAGACCTTGAGTGTACTCAACAAGCCTTAATATAACATTTGGGTAGAAACTATTATCAATTGTATCTCCATACAACTCTCAAATCATTAAACTGATAACTCTTTGTTTTCATATATCTTATGTGTTAGTTTAACATGCCTCTAAAATTTATCTCCTTGAGTGTACTCAACAAAAGATAAATTTTAGTTAAATCAAACCCGTCATTCAGAAATATCAAATATTTTATAGTGTCAAACATATCTCTAATAGATCAGCTTTGAGTGTACTCAACAAGTTGAGACGATTTGGGACTCTAATTTTTCACTATAATGATGGAAGGCAATTATAAATGTGACTTAATATTTTATGGAGAGATTTTGCATTCAAAGGTCTCATCGTAACAATAATATATATTTTATTATACATCTACCATGCAAATAAATATATATAACATAATATAATAGTGTAGACGATTATGGACTTTTACTATCTAGTCTTCCCGAGCCATAAGGAAGATTAGTTGGTCAATTCTTAGGGGGTATAGCATTGAACAGTATCAATGCACCATTTACATGGTCTCCTCCTCTTCTTATTTCTTCATTTAGTCCAGCTGCAACATGTATCCTATACTAGTTGGCACGCAGGCCTAAATGAAATTAGACTCGCAGGTCCATAGCCACAATAACAATAATGGACTCGCAGGTCCAAAATGATTAAGAGCTCGCAATGACTCATAATAATAATATCAACAATAACGGGCTCGCAAACCCAAAATTAATTAAGAGCTAGTAGACTCATAAAACGACTAGATTAAAAAATCAACCATTCAACACATCCATATGGTCAAGTCCATAATCATCTACTAATAATGCATTTATCACATAAATAAATTCTTATTATAATATCTAATATTATATGCAAACGTGTTTCAAATTTCTAGCAGTTAAGGTCGTCTAAACTCTTTTAGACAAATGGATTGGAACAATTAAATAATTAATTAATCATATTAATCAGTTAATTTAATTAGAATGCATATTTAATTAAAATTAAATTTTAATTAAATATCGAATTAGAGTCCAACTCTAATTCAATAATTATAGGACGGGATTATTTAATTAGAATCAAATTTTAATTAAATATCAAATTAGAGTTCAACTCTAATTTCAAAACTTAAAGCGGCTGAATTTAATTAAAATCAAATTTTAATTAAATAATAAAATTATAGTCTAACTTTAATTCCAATATTTAGGGCGAATTAATTTAATTAAAATCAAATTTTAATTAAATAATAAAATTAGAGTGCGAATTAATTTAATTAAAATCAAATTTTAATTAAATAATAAAATTAGAGTCTAACTCTAATTCCAATATTTAGGGCGAATTAATTTAATTAAAATCAAAATTTTAATTAAATACCAAATTAGAGTCCAACTCTAATTGGAACAAATTTTAGGACAAGACAATTTAATTAAAATCAAATTTTAATTAAATGTCAAATTAGAATCCAATTATAATTTCTAGAATATATTTGGGTGAATAATTAATTAAAATCAAATTTTGATTAAGTATTAAATTAGAGTCCAACTCTAATTTAAATTGAATTAATACTTTAATCTAGGATAACACTCCTAAATAAAATAAAATTCAATTGGGGTCAAAGTTTAATATTTAAGTTAAAATCATATTTTAAAGAAAATATAAAAAGTCGTCAATTTTAAATAAAATTTTAATTTGGGTCAAAATTAAATTTATAGGTCAAATCCATTAAAATCAAATTTAAAAGCATTCCAAAATATAAATTCAAAACAATTTTAAAATTGTATTTTGACCCAAACTTGAATTTATAATCAGGACTTACCAAATAAAGAAATTGCAGAGAAGCCCTTTCATTTATTAATTGCAATCAGACCCCGAAAATGGAATTGCAAGAAAGGGGTCCTCAATATCAAATATTGCAAGAAATACCCTTACTTAAATAATTTACAAACTGACCCCAAAATGGATATTGCAAACGAAGGCCTGCAATTTCACAAATTGCTTCAGAGGCCCCCATCTCCAATTCACCCAAAACGCGATTATGAAACCTTAGGAAATTCACCACGCTCGCATCAATTTTAAGGGCGACGACGGCTCATGTGACGGAGGCCGCCATTGTTGGACAGCGAATGCTTCCTCCTGCTACTGCTGCAAATTCAGCAGTAGCAACTACAGCAACGAGTTGTTGCTGCTGCCAGTATGGGCAGCGGCTCAGGCGCAGTAGCAAGCCCGCCTGTGCAGCCGCGCAGCCAGTCCTGTCGCCAACGGTAAATTGTCACGGCTCCACCCCCCTCTCCCCCTTTTCGTTTATTCCAATCCAAAAATTATTTTCTATTCAAAATCAAATTTTGATTATGAAAATTTATTTTCTTAATTATTAAAACAATTAACTTTTAATTGTTCTAACATGCAAAGCAATTTCTAACAAACACAAAGCAGGCTCTGATACCACTGTTGGGAATCTACTTAACATGCACAGCGAAAATTAAAATAATTTTCGATTCCCACCAAAATTCATCTTTGTATTTAGATAGAAATTGTGATAAAAGTCATAACTTTTCTAGATCTGCAAACCACTTTGTTTTTTCTTTGTACCAATGATCTTGATTCGCCACCTACAGCTGTTCAATTGTCCAGCCTCCAACGGTGATCCACACAGAGAACGGATTGCAGCTACCAAGATTTTCTCCTCTTGTATTAGCAAGAAATTATGAAAAAACTATTGGATTGAAAACTCTAGCCATGTATTTATATAAGCCCAAATGCTCCTGGCCTGTTCCATTCCAATATTTAATTAAATTCGGTCCGGGAATTAATTAATTCGGGCCTATAAATAACCAATCCAATTAATTAATTTATCTAACGATTGTTAAATTAATTAATTGACAAATTGTAATTTTCTAATTCTCTTTTTTGTGCGACCCATTAGATTCCCGATCAGATGCCTAACGACGTGAAATATTATTTTGATCTAATCAAAATTGATAAATTAAAACACCATTTTAATCTATCACCAATTCACACTTGTCGTCCCAGATTGATATCTAGTAATGTGTCAGGGCAATACATGTGACGTGGAATGTCATGTGATATGACAAAATCAAACTCATTCGTTTACCGTGAAACTATAATCCCTTCATCAATATGATCCGATCAATTACGAGATATGGAAGTGTGTCAATCCCGAATATCGATCATATCTTTCACTTCACTATTAAATTAATATAAGTCGAAAACTCTTTTTGGACTTATGAGTACACCTTGGTCAAAGATTTCGTTATCGACTTAATTAAATGAAACGCAAATCATAATCTCTTACTATTTAAGAGTGACGAATCATCTATTGGTCATTCGCAATCTTCATATGACTCTTGATATATCCGAACGATGCCGTATTAGCGGCCCTTAGCAGAGCAACATCCAACACAGTCAAAGTATGACCGTCCTCATATAAGGTATTATGACGACCTCAAGTCAAAAGGACCAATCCCACTTCCGAACATTAGAGATTAACCACTGACACTCAAATAGTTATCCATGTGAAATCCCTCGGTGGGTCTCCAATGTTTTGTTCTATAACAAAACATTCACGTGTTTATTTAAGTGTCACCACATTTTAACTGGTGAGATCAGCTACTTACTTCACAAGTAAGGAATGCCACAAGTAATGGTCTATCTGTAATAACGATATACATATCTCGTTATTACTTACGACCACGGACGATTTAAAATTCAATCATATGTAATTTGTATCTCACAATCACAACTCCTTGTAATTAACAATTTACGAAGATTTGAATATACGGACTCTATTATTTAATTAATTGTCTATTAATTAAATAATATATCTGCCATTAAATTGCATTAATTATATATCAAAAGTATTTATGTCCAAGTTTGATTGGACTTAGGGCATAATATTTACTGGAGGTTTGGGTTGTAATTTGTTTGGGTGTTGTGAAGGATGAGATTGGTATACTGAACCCGAAAAATCCACCAATTGGAGGCCGATTCTTCAACAAATGTCAAATTACATCACGAAACTAATATTACCTTGCAATGCAAAAGATTGAATATTGCGCAGCAAAATAAGGAAATTGATTTTTGATTTAGCAGACCCACTTTTCCTCATTGTTTTTCACCGATATAATTTAATGAATGAATTGATCTATTTGAATTAGCATCTATCATGAAATTACATTTAATGAACGACGTGATGTAATCCATTTTAATTTTTTTGATACAAAACAGTTAACTAGCAAATTACGGAAACATTATTTTTGGTTATATTTTATCCCCTTTATAGTATTACTACTATTATTTCCAATGTCTGAGTATAATATAAAATATTTTTAATTTAAAGGGTATCTGTGAAAATATGATGTACAAAATTTTGACCCAAACTCGCATTTTCTAGCATCCGTCTAGTACTAGGCTTCGATGTAACTGGACATATCTAAATTTGGCATTTTACGGCAAAAGCAAGTGAATTGACCCAAAATTGCTTCTTCTTCTATTATTCATCTAATATTAAGGGTCTGATATGTATGAGTGGGCCGATAAAATTTGAGCATTTTCTTGCAAAAGCAAGGCTCCATTCTATTTAAATGAGGTAGAAGATTTTGGACCAAACTTTCTTCAAGGGCTAATACCAAGCTTTGATGTAAGTGGGGGTTCTTGAGATGTCAGATCAAGTGTTTATCTAGTAAGAGTATGAAATTTTCGTGCTCGATGAACTGAAATCTGCAGGCAACAAATTTGATTGAAATGGGGACAAAGGGACGGTTCATGAAATCCACGAGTATTAACAGATGGCAATGAGACGGTTTGGGACTAAGACAAGTATAGATCACCCCTTGACCACTCGCTCGGTCTTAAATGGGATACACAATGATCGTCTTGTCCCGTCTCCTATCATCCTACTATTGCATATCCATATAAACTTTATCATGCATCAAATCTTTGTGCTATTATGGCAAGATTGTCCCATCATCGTTGGTTGAAAATGAAAATAACGCTCTCAATAGAGCGTCGGTATGCAATTTCACCAGACATCGATTCATCACATCATCAAAAATTTGAATGCTATTAGAGGACTCCAACACTTGATTAGGCCTTATTTGATATGACATTAAAGACTCAAGTTTGAAATTCAAATCTCATTACGAGTGCGAGATTATTTTATGTCATAACTAGTTTTCACTACATTTCAATTTTTACTTAAATAATGAGTCTGTATAATTTCCTTTTTATTTCTTTTTTTTTTTCTTCAGAAAAAATTGTCCTCCTCTCTAAGTTTTTCTTGATAGATATTATTATAACCATTTGTGACACATTTTTCCCAAACGTCGTAGTTACTTAAAAACCGTACTGATTATTGTTACGATTACATCGGCTAATCGCCATCTTTTATAAAAAAATTGGGTAGTGATACACATTCTGAGGGTAGTAGGACCAATCCCAAACCACCTGTGACGGCGGTGCTGGAGTCTCCGCCTTTTTCTCCTCTGGTTTCTTTGCTTCCCCGACGCTGAACAATTCTGCGGGCGCCACTTTTTTCCTTAGTGCATTTGTGAGCACCACCGCGTCGACATCTCCGACCACCTCCAGCTGGTTCTTTTCCGCCCCTACTAACGCAACCGATTCAACACCTTAAAAAAATTATAACACGTGATCAGCACGAAAACTAGGACACAGACTTAAAATCGAGAAGTCGAGAAAATTTGAAGAAATAGAAAGTTAGTAAACCTGATACAGCAACAACAGTCCTCAAGGCCTTGGAGCGAGATTTCTCATCATTCATTGAAACTCTAATCACAATCTTTTGCTGCAAAAAAAGCAACAAACAATAATTTAGCACCGAAATTCGGAAGAATTCTTAGAGAAAATTAAAGAAAAACTCTATTCTTGTGCAATTTACTATACGATTAAATGAACTATACCTTCATTTTCTAGATTAGACAATGGAGTAATGGGCAAAATGGATTCTAAAAAGAGCACAGAAAGATAGAACTCTTTCTTCTCTTTTTCTTGGTGATGAGAGAAGAATTTGAAAGGTGTGAGGAATGTAAGAAATGGGTTGTCTATTTGTAGAGGATGATCTTCATGTGCACGTGGTTCTGTTTGGTTTAGATTAAAATTAAATCTTTAATAAATTTTAATAAAAGTTGATAAAATAAATTCTTAAATGTAATTTTGAAACAAACAAGTTTAAGAAAAGGAAACTTCACTTCTTCAAAAAGGGCCTTTGAAGAAAATTCAAAGAACTCCCCACCCACATATTATTATGAGACCCCACAAGCAGCAGAGGATTCAATATATATATATTTGTTAGCAAAAATAATTATAAATACTATTACGATAATTATTCTCGACGCATTTTCATATTTTGAAAACATCGTATAATTATATCATTACCAATTTTGTTAGATATATTTTCTCAATAGATAAAATATCGCTTTGTTCTATTACTATATCCTTTCAAAAAATTGCTAACTAAAACCATTCAAGAAGTACATGAAAATTGCACACAAATCAGAGATGAAAATTGAATTCTCGACTTCTCCGACTCTGGCTCCGTTGCTACTTACAACCACACCAATGACAAAAGGGCCGTGATACACGTACATAATCATTTATCTAATATTTTACCTATTACTCACATCATTTGGGTAGGACCTTAGTTCGGATTATTAAATTACATATGGGGCCCGCATGTTTGTGAGGAGGGGAGGGGGGGGACATGGTTCAGTACAAACATCTTTATCATGGCAAAAACTACAAGAAGAAATGTGAACTTGTATTTATTGAGGTGGTCATTTGAACGTTATAATTTGTTAATTGACTGTCTTAATCTCAATCCCTATCACTTCCAATCTCATGTACTTCCTCCAGAGAATCCACAAGAACAGGATAGACCTTCATAAAATTTAAAAAAAAAAAAAATTCAAATTTTTTGAGTGGTCCACGGACCACGCTTGCCCAAGTGTGGCTCCGCCCACAAGTCATCTTCCATGTAATTGCATGGAAAAGTAGCAAGTAGCAACACGATCCGGAAAAGTAATATGAATTTTCAGCGTGTTCCCACTCAAGTCACGTGGAGTCGACAACCATGGACCCACAAGTAAAAGAATAACGTTTATAAAAATCTCTGAGAATGTTACGACGTGCTTCTACTTTTTTATGTGTAAATCGTCGTATTAGTCGAGTCATAAACGTTTCAGTATCACTACAAATATCTTAGTAAACATATATATCGATTCAGGTCACACATATATTACGACATATAGATTATCGAGTCTTAATCTCGTAACTAATTTGATGATGTAATCACGTTACCTTGAGTGCTTTTTTCATATGAACTTTTTCCTTTTAGCTAGGGCCTGTTTGGTAGTTTAATGAGAATTGATTTTTTTATCGTTAGAGGAGAAAGTAAGTCTCACCTGTGAGTGAAAAAATTAAAAATTAAGATTGAAATAGTGAAATAACGGTCAAAAAATTAATTTTTTGAAGTGAAAAATTACTACCAAATAAGGGCTTAGTCTCTGCGAAAATATTTTGAGTAATTGACTTAAAATTAAGACCAAGTCAATTCCCATTTGGTACCCCCAAAAAAAAAATTAAAAAAATAAAATAAATAAACAATCAAGTTCGGTACAATTGACCAGTAAGTCAACATGACCCATTCTAAGTCCATTTCGGCCATAAAGTTAGAATTATTATTTTAGAAAAATGTCAATATCAAGGGACCATGTCAATAAGAAATTGAATGATTTTAAGATTTTGATTATTTCTATATACTTTTCTTCTTTGAGAATGAACTTATAAGATATTAAGTATATGTTTTGTTTTGATTTTTCATCTCAAAAAATTAATTTTTTGATCGTTACTTTCCAAAGTCAGCCATTATTTTTTGACTTATTTTCTCAGATGTGAGACCCACTTTTCTCTCTAACGATCAAAAAATCAATTCTCGTAATCACTACCGAACAAGTTCTAAACCCCAATTTACTATAGTTTCTTTAATGACCTGACATTGATCGACGTATATAATCGTGTCTATAATATTGACATGCAAGTCATAAATGCAATTAAATATGAATCATATTAATCGGACACATCTCACTGATACCCTATAGTAATGTTCACATTACAAGACTTTATGAAGAACTTGAAGGTCTCGGCTTGTGAACTAAAAGAGGCAGCCAAACTGATTATGACTCTTTTGATCTTTAATAGTATCCACAATATTAGTTTAGGGTTTGTTTTGATGTCACTATTTACTCGTTTAATCCGAAACGGAATCGAAAGATAAGAGGATAATGAATTTACGTAGACCGTTGCTTTTGGTCATGACTGTCGTCAACCATTCACTGGCGACAATAGATGGTGACGATGCATCCTGATTTATGCAAATAAATAAATAAATATAAATATATATATATATATAAAAACCAAACAAATCTAATTTAATTCTTGGTTCTCAATATAAACTCATCCATCAATTATTTGACGCATTAATTAATCTGTTTAATTAATTAATTAATTATTTATTTTTCTAATTTTTATTGTACACCAAACAATATACTTCAATAAAAAAAAATTAACCACAAAATGCAAACAATATTGAAAACGACATGCAGTCAATCCAGTTATTATTTCTACTAATATAGCAATAGAGAAGGGTTGTCTCATTCCCCTTAATAAGAACAAATGAGAGGTCCCACGAGATTTAAATAAGAGAGTTATACTAAGTGCATATTTGATAGTGATTTTTCTTCTCAAAAAATCAATTTTTTTATCATTATTTCACTATTTCAGCCATCATTTTTGACTTTTTCTTTCACATATATGACTCACTTTTTTCTCTAATGGTCAAAAAATCAATTTTTAAAATCACTATCGAACAAACCCTAAATTTATAAGACCTTATTACACTCTGAAAAACATAAAATTCGTTAAACTGTATTCGAATTTTAGTCTATCCTCGTTGTAACGCTTATTATTAGCACTATGGTGTGGCATGTTAGAATTAATATATATTTGATTGATGAAAGACGTGTAAACGTAAGACTTCAAGACCCATTATTCCAAACATGCCTAGTTAATTCATAAACAGAGAGTCTATGAGTAGTAAATGAATCTAACTAATTCTAGTTAGAAGGTAATTGAAAAACTATTAGCAATGTGATTACTCATAGAACTAATTACTTCTTTTCCGCGTAATTGTCATTACCTGGTCGTATTTATTAGTCAAAGTATTAATTTGGTATTTATTATAGCATATATTTAGAACAAGTCTACGGGAATCTATTCAATTTCTTGAGTTATTTGATTTTTTTTAAGAATAATTTTTTTGTGAAGAGTGATATTATTGAAGATTGTGGTTAAGAAGTACGAAAACGTTATGAGTTCACATGCAAAGTTATTTTATTAAGAGATTTTTTTTTTTATTGAAAATAAGTTGGAAGAAAAAATAAATATTAAAGAATCTGTATCAAACTTGTGTTAAAGAAAACTCAAG